TTAAGAGGATCCCCCAAGGCCGAGGCCTTTGATGGTGTGCGCCATCTAAACACGAAACGCAGCATATACATGAGCACACGGACACACTACTACGATACATCACACCCATACATAAACGCGAAAATTTCATACTAACTATACTCTTATTTTAAACGTCTAATCCCAATTTAGAGGGTTTCACAGTAATTCTACATGTCATCGAATCCTAGGAAACTCAGTTTCATGTGAGTACAAGTTGTAGAACTTTTATACGAAGCACAAGTATGACGGAGTGACAGTTCGCGTTTACAAGGTTATGTGTGATCGATTATATGAATTTTGTAATTTTTACTCATTTTTGGTATAAAATCGGAGTTTCCTGGGATCATTAATGCATATACTGTAATTGTACGCAAGCATTTTTGATTCCATGAATTTAATGCGACGATAGGTTATAACTACAAATGTCGGTAAAACAGACATGCTACGGGATCCTCTTAAACGAAATTTGGAAAGATATCTAAGAATTAATTCGATCTATATTATACTTATATGGTTTGAAAAGACGATTATTAGTTACTAATTGTCAATACTCACGGCAGCAGCCAATATACACGCGGCGAACACTAGAGCCCTCATTTTGCTCCTCTTGGAGTGTTTTAAAAGGTGAAATTTCGTATGATCGTTCGTTGCAGCACTCCAAGACCGCACTGATATACAGATATTTCGGATACTACGTATATATATATATTTTTAACGACATTATGACAGTTGACTGCACAATTTATGCAACGTTAATATTTGCACGTTCTTTGTTGCGTACTTTGTATGAACAGATTGTATAAACTGATGAGCTGATTATTCTACTTATGAAATAATATTTTGGTTAAAATTTGTATGAACAAGTGCGCTGCACTGTTGCATGCGTAAGACCGCATCTTTTTTACTACGTGAAAAGCCAATGTTTATTGTGAACGACGGAAGGCAAAATTTATACAACTTTTGACACATGAAGTACATAATTCCACTTTTTATTTGTACTAGAACGAATATGTAATTATCAAAAATCAACCGGATCTTTTATACATTTGAAATGTTCAGAAATTTTTATGTAAACTGTGCAAACTTGATTTGATAATATCTAAAATATAAGAAACCGGTGACGTTAAATGATATAAAGAGACAACATGTGGCAATACTAAACGGAGAAAATTGATGGCGTATTATCAGTGTTTATTCAGCTTGCGAAAATTCTGCGATCCCTTCGATCTATTTCTTCTATTTTGAAATATATTTCCAGGTGTATGCATCATAATTCCGATCTATAGTTTTTCAAGAAATTAAGTAAGAAATCGTTAAATACGTAGCATCGTATTTTCATCGGATTATTCTGACTCTTTTAATAATGCGAGTGATATTTCACGTTCAATATTTGATAGGAAAAGATTACGCATCATGCGTGTATTTTGAAATTAATTTTTGTTTATATGGATTTGTCATTTCGATTTAATAATGATTTAAAATATAAATACCATTTTCATTTTTGTCAAAGAGCATTTATAAAAATTATTTAATTATTATTCTTTTTTTAACTCTTTGTGTCGTTAGAACAACAAAACAGCGTAATTATAATAAATTAAAAAAGAAAATGAAATTAAGTTGCAATATTTTTATAACGATTTAATGTAATTTTTTTCACTTTAGTAAACTCATAATTTTTAATTTATTAAAATCAATTTTACTGTTCTCTCAAATAAAGTACTGAAAGTAATTATAACAAATGAATTTACATAAATAGCTTTTCAATTAAAACAAAAGTGAATTTATACTTAATAATATATAATTTTTTAAATGAAATAAAATTAATTGATCGTTTCAATTATTATTAAATGTAGGAGTTAAATAATTTGTATTAAATATTGAAATTTATATAACTTTAAATTGTTAGTATGATGATATTTATTTATGCATATTAAAACAAATTAAAAAACAGATTAAAACAAATTTTATCATTATTCTCTTGTATAATAAAATTTAAGTAACAGTATTTCTATTTCAAATGCTCTCTCTCAGTAGAATTTTACGAAGCGAAAAATGTAACAATAGAATATTTATTAAAATCAAGTTGAAACATAAGAAATAAAATGTACATCTTACATTATAATAGTTTATTTCGTAGGATGTTATTTTATGATAACAGGACTGGCTAGTCCTGGGTGTTTGTTTTAGTTAGCGCGCGCTGCCGATACGCAAGGTTGTCGCGCGGTTGTCACTCGCGCAAGCGAGACTTGTGTCAACAGGGTAATGGCACGTGCTGTGTTTCGTCATTTTATTCATCGAAACTTGATTTCGTGGACTACCGGGAGATACTAAACGCGATTATTTTCTACAAACAATGAACTGTTAATCAGTGTGATTTTAACATACGTAATTAACGATTGTAAATACATTGGCTACTGATCTATTTCGCGCGATTTATTCGTGCCACTCAGGAATCGAAGCGATAAGGCAATTGTAGATTAGGCGTTTAGCGTCGTGATTTAGATTGCACATTCGCAATAGTCCTACAGTTTCTGACAGGTTTCAGAGATAATTTATTTTCATGGAAAAGATGCAAATATGAGTTGCTAACTTTCCGTGGTATCTCAAGTTGCGAAAAAAGTCACTTCAGCTACAGAATTTTACAGTTTTAAGAGAGTTCTATAGTTCCTGAAATTTAATTTTCCTGATAAAATTTAACTTCATATTTTTAAATGTCACATTTTTCTATCCAAATCAATGGAATTTGTAATAAAACCCCTACCAGGAACTATGGGGGTGCAAACGGAACTGTTGATAAAACTTTCGATTTTGTGAGAATGAGGTGCCAACATTATATCTTCAAATTTTCTGCTATTTGAGACTTCATTTGTTGTGCTGATCTATCAGATTCATAAGCATCGCCTAGTTTCGCACAGTTCTTTTTTTCGTGTGACTTTCACAATCGCATTTCAATAGGACTCCATAGACAATAGCAAAGTTTGTGTCGCGTACGATTAATGTCGGAAGTGTCGTGCGAAGTAACATGAGGTTATTCTGTTGTGGTGAGCAATACGCGCGATTGTAATTAACCGTGCTTTCGCGAGTATTGTGTTATACGAGTATTATGTGAAAGGAGAAGGCCATTGGAAGGCTTAGGGTGATAGCAAAGCAACCGTGGTGAGGTGAAAAAGTTATTTTCTATTTTATTAAGAAATACCCATGAAAATGATATCAGAGAGAGAGAGAGAGAGAGAGGGAGAGAGAGAGAGAGAGAGAGAGAGAGAGGGAGAGGGAGAGGGAGAGGGAGAGAGAGAGAGAGAATATATAAAAAATATTTAAGTAAAATAAATAAGTAGAATAAATAAAACATTTAATATAATATCTAAGAATGGATTAATATAGATTAATATATTTAATTTTGAAATTGATATAACAATTAATTTATTGAACAGGCAGTTTTATATACAAAAGTCTTAGACATTTATAAAACTGTCTACAAAACAACACTTTTAGAATTGAAATATATAGGACATAGTAAAGAAAATACAGTAAGTTCTGCAAATTACAGGAAAAATTCTATAGAATACGGTAGGCGAAATATTAATTTTTTCCTTCCCAATTATTTTTTAAATAGAATTTGAGGTCTGAGTTCGGTTTTTCTGTCTAATTCCAAAATTAAATATATAAGCCGCGATATAAAGGAAAGCAATATTCTACTAGAGTTTTGTATGCATTTGACAAATATAAATAACAAACATGAAATATAGGAGATATTTTACTAATTAAACTAATTCATTTGTTGAAGAGATGCACTGATAAATTAATTATCTCTCCTTAAAAATATGTACATTTCTAATAAATATGTCAATTTTATTTCTCTGATTTTTTATATCCATTCTTATTTATTAATAACTTGATTTTCTTTTATTACTGTAAGAAAAACGTTTTAATAACTGAGAGATATATTTATATATATTCGATAATTCTCCTTATATATGTAATATTGCAGAGTGTTTCGCAACAGTCGCGCTTTGACTTACTTCAATAGCTTCAGGTTTCACGAGAGTGATTGTTCCATTTCTCACGATCGGTTGGGTATAATATCTCTAGTTGATCTTTAATCAACATGTAAATATTAAACCTTCTGCGTCTCAAGGAACTTTATTCCGAATAACTCGTCTGATACGCTTTTTTGAAACGGGATTTATATGTATAATTTTCCTTTCTAACAAAAAGATGTTACCAGCGCGAATGTCGTTAATATCGAACAGTTGAGGCCTCTTTTCATGATGCCGATTAGTTTTCCCGATTCGTAGTAAATGAAGCTTTGCAATTTACAAATATACATTTGTATACACCAACTATTGAGATAATATCTATAACCTTAGTAATTAGATTTTAAGTAACAACGATTTTTGTTTCGAAACATTTTCTCGATTGAACAGAATTAATCGTTAATTCAATCGATATCAATAAGTCCGCAGAATAATACACAAAACGTAGTAACAGTCACGGAACAAAAAAAGACACCGAATTCTCAACGTTCGTAGTTGTTTTTCTCTCGGCGCGGTGACGTACACGATGTTTTTGCGTGCCATCGTGTGCCTGAAGGTCGCCGCGCAATCATTCGCTCGCCGAACGTCGAGCCGGCAAGCAGTGGCGAGAGTCGCTCCGTGCGTGTTATTACTTTTGCGTTATCAGTTTCCAAGACTCGATCGCGACGAATTAAGAGATAAAACGCTATTGATTTGAACACCTTTATCAATAACAAGTAACGTTCTTCCATTAATTATTAAGTTTCTACAACTTTTAATGAGAAACGAATTGCATGTTGAGGCGACGACTCTTTATCAACGTAACATAGATATTTCACGAGACTAACTCATCTAAAATATGAACGTAAACCGTGGTACTTTGTCGCGGTTACATCTCGTTTACGCACCGCGCTTTCATTATCTTTCGATTTCGTGTAATCTGTTTCATTTTTGAGAAAAGAGAGAAATTTCTGTGACTTCGGCGTTCGCGCTGTAATTCGCTCTGTCGTTCTTCGTGACTCAAAGATTGTAAAATATCGTTCCGTTGCGGACTAATAACTACTTCTTTACCGCAGATTATGCTTCCGATGCTCGCGTTGCGTTTTATATCGCCAATTCAAAAGTGTTTTATCCATTATCCTATTCTTCCGAATCAAAAATACAAATTGTCAGTTTGAGCAATTTGTATGATAGAGAGTCACGCGACATTTGTCAATAATATTTCGTGCGTTTCGCGGTATTTCACGTCGCGTACGGGAGTGTCCGAAATTTCGCGCGATCGATGATTTTCGCGAGTGTTGTGTGAGTGCAACAAGGAAATCTGAGAGGAAGAGGAGGCTCAGGAGGCATCGGGCAACGGCGGAGAAATGGTGAGGTAAGTGTCTTACATTTTCATGTTATTTGCTACTTGTGCAAAATGAAGTATCTGTTCTGTGCTTTTATTTTATTTATTCAAATGATTCGAACGAGGATTCGAATAAGTGTTAGAGACAAAACCATATGTATTAAATTTTGTGAGTTTATATTTAAAAGGAAGACTTTCAGTATTCTATATAACTATTTTAATAAATACCTATTTTTTTAAATATAATATATAAAGTATATTTAATACAATAATTTCGATTTTATATAATTAATCTATAATAATCATACATA